ATCTTTTTCCATCCCCTCACTTTCAGTCTGTATGTGTCCCTAGGTCTGAAGTGGGTCTCTTGTAGACAGCATATAGATGGATCTTGTTTTTGTATCCATTCAGCAAGCCTGTGTCTTTTGGTTGGAGCATTTAATCCATTCACGTTTAAGGTAATTATCGATATGTATGTTCCTATGACCATTTTCTGAATTATTTTGGGTTTGTTTTTGTAGGTCCTTTTCTTCTCTTGGGTTTCCCACTTAGAGAAGTTCCCTTAGCATTTGCTGTAGAGCTGGTTTGGTGGTGCTGAATTCTCTTAGCTTTTGCTTGTCTGTAAAGCTTTTGATTTCTCCATCGAATCTGAATGAGATCCTTGCCAGGGAGAGTAATCTTGGTTGTAGGTTCTTCCCTTTCATCACTTTAAGTAAATCATGCCACTCCCTTCTGGCTTGTAGAGCTTCTGCTGAGAAGTAAGCTGTTAACCTTATGGGAGTTCCCTTGTATGTTATTTGTCGTTTTTCCCTTGCTGCTTTCAATAATTTTTCTTTGTCTTTAATTTTTGCCAGTTTGATTACTATGTGTCTTGGCGTGTTTCTCCTTGGGTTTATCCTGTATGGGACTCTCTGTGCTTCCTGCACTTGGGTGGCTATTTCCTTCCCCATGTTAGGGAAGTTTTCGACTATAATCTCTTCAAATATTTTCTCTCGTCCTTTCTCTCTCTCTTCTCCTTCTGGGACCCCTATAATGCGAATGTTGTTGTGTTTAATGTTGTCCCACAGGTCTCTTAGGCTGTCTTCATTTCTTTTCATTCTTTTTTCTTTATTCTGTTCCGCAGCAGTGAATTCCACCATTCTGTCTTCCAGGTCACTTATCTGTTCTTCTGCCTCAGTTATTCTGCTATTGATTCCTTCTAGTGTAGTTTTCATTTCAGTTATTGTATTGTTCATCTCTGTTTGTTTGTTCTTTAATTCTTCTCGGTCTTTGTTTTTGGTTTTTTTTTTGCGGTATGCAGGCCTCTCACCACTGTGGCCTCTCCTGTTGCGGAGCACAGACTCCAGATGCGCAGGCTCAGCAGCCATGGCTCACAGGCCCAGCTGCTCCACGGCATGTGGGATCCTCCCAGACCGGGGCACGAACCCGTGTCCCCTGCATTGGCAGGCGGACTCTCAACCACTGTGCCACCAGGGAAGCCCTCGCAGTCTTTGTTAAACATTTCTTGCATCTTCTCGATCTTTGCCTCCATTCTTTTTCTGAGGTCCTGAATCATCTTCACTATCATTATTCTGAATTCTTTTTTTGAAAGGCTGCCTATCTCCACTTCAGTTGTTTTTCTGGGGTTTTATCTTGTTCCTTCATCTGGTACATAGCCCTCTGCCTTTTCATCTTGTCTGTCTTTCTGTGAATGTGGTTTTAGTTCCACAGGCTGCAAGATTGTAGTTCTTCTTGCTTCTGCTGTCTGCCCTCTGGTGGATGAGGCTATCTAAAAGGCTTGTGCAAGTTTCCTGATGGGAGGGACTGGTGGTGGGTAGAGCTGGCTGTTGCTCTGGTGGGCAGAGCTCAGTAAAACTTTAATCCACTTGACTGCTGATGGGTGGGGCTGGGTTCCCTCCCTGTTGGTTCTTTGGCCTGAGGCAACCCAACACTGGAGCCTACCTGGGCTCTTTGGTGGGGCTAATGGCAGACTCTGGGAGGGCTCACGGCAAGGAGTACTTCCCAGAACTTCTGCTGCCAGTGTCCTTGTCCTCACGGTGAGACAGAGCCACCCCCCGCCTCTGCAGGAGACCCTCCAACACTAGCCGGTAGGTCTGGTTCAGTCTCCCCTGGGGTCACTGCTCCTTCCCCTGGGTCCCGATGCACACACTACTTTGTGTGTGCCCCCCAAGAGTGGAGTCTCTGTTTCCCCCAGTCCTGTCGAAGTCCTGCAGTCAAATCCCACTAGCCTTCAAAGTCTGGTTCTCTAGGAATTCCTCCTCCCATTGGCAGACCCCCAGGTTCGGAATCCTGACGTGGGGCTCAGAACCTTCACTCCAGTGGGTGGACTTCTGTGGTATAAGTGTTCTCCAGTTTGTAAGTCACCCACCCAGCACTTATGGGATTTGATTTTATTGTGATTGTGCCCCTCCTACCATCTCATTGTGGCTTCTCCTTTGTCTTTGGATGCGGGGTATCTTTTTTGGTGAGTTCCCATGTCTTCCTGTCAATGATTGTTCAGCAATTAGTTGTGATTCTGGTGTTCTCGCAAGAGGGCATGAGAGCACGTCCTTCTACTCCACCATCTTGAACCAATCTCTCGTTAATGACCTTTTGATGTCTCTAGTGACCCGTTAGGTTAGATACGTTGCTTAAATTGTTTTTGGAGTAATGGATTTATATCATCACACTCTCCTTCTTGCCTGTTTTCCATCCCAGTCAATAATATGAGTGAAAGCCGGGTAAGGTATAGTCCATGGCCAAGGAGGGAAGGCACTATATGGAATAAGTGAAGTGGAACTCTATCTTTGCCTTATCCTATTCTTGAAACTCATAAGGTTGATGGGGCTTCAGAGTCAATTCAGGTCTCAGCTGAGTTACTACTGCAATACTTGTTCCTGATACCCAAGGATCTCCCTCCTTTGGTAAAATTTTTTACCTCACCTTTAACACTGAACTTGAAGTCCTCTCTGAAAGTGAGTTAAATACAAAGGATTTTATATAAGTCACTGAAGTAATCAGTGATACAAATATGCATTTCCACAAATAAGTAGTGATGTTTTATTTGTTATTAACTACATGTGCCAAGAGTACAGAACAAATCCTAAATTGAGAAATGAACATTATACAGTCTTTCTACTACAATCAATTCTACTACAAGCTTCAAAGTATTGAGCTACAAAAACCCCAGGAGCTGAGAGAGAAATAATTCTGCCAAGAAGCATTTATTTATCATTCCCAAACAAGCTCTCTGACCTTCAGCTAAATTTAAAGGATTCTGAATTTTAGAAGGGGCATCCCCATTTAAGGAAGAGTCTGGGTTTCAGAATCTTCAGGACCAAATAATATAAGGTATTTTGGTTGAAGGGGATGGTTTTTGGAGATTAGAGATGGAAATGTACTCAAGCAGCTAAAGCTCTTGTTGGAAGCTGAAAGTCAAGCTGGCAGAAATGTCACTCAAGTTATCCTACCTGGTGGTCGTGTTAAGATCTTGAACAGCTTTTGAAAAGCAGACTGTACTGGTACCTGGGAAGGGGGACATAACCTCCCCCCACCCTTTCCCCTGCCCATACCGCTCCCCCCGCCCCCCCGCAGGGCTTATATGTCCTGGGAGCCATGCGACATGAAGAGACCATACTCAGCAGCCTGCTGACAAGTTCTCTTCTGGGAGAAACTGCTCCTGAGGCTGGTCGAGCTGCAGAGGGAATAGAAAGGCAGCTGGCAGCTGAAGCTGTAATTTACGGGATGCAGAGATGGAAGCGCTTCTTCGAAGAAGCCGACCCCATGCTTCACTCAGGGCTTAGTTTCTGTCATTTGGAAGGCAGCTTCTTTCAGCTAGTTACCATTAAGAATGATCCAATGGTGGGAATGTGTTAAAAATGACACAGGAACCACCTCAAAGGGGGGCTTACTCACTGGACTGGGGACAATTTAAGCATAAAATTTTTTTTAAATGATAATAAGAAATTATAATCCATTGAAAAAATTCAGAAGTCCCACACTGATATAAATAAATAATAAACAAACAATGGAAAAGGAATGCTCTAACTTTGCAAATACCAACTAAGAAATATAGAAGAAATAGTGGATAGAAAAACCACCACTGAGGCAGGTGGGCGTTGTCAATGGATGCTAGGTCTAGTGGAGGGAGGCATTTTCAGGAACAAGATCATCCGTGAAACCTTAGAACACCTTCCCACAAAAGACTAATCAATTGCAAAAGGAAAAAGTGTGACTTTAAGGTGGAGAAATCTAAAGGACACCAACATGACCAGAGATCAAGCTTAACATCTCCAAGGGTGGGTGGGCCGACAACATGTACCCCTGATGTGACTGCATATCACGTCATTTCTGTGCCTAGTCCTGCTGAGAGCTCATGACCTGAGTCTAGTCATGAGGAAGCAGCTAGATCCAGGCTGAGGGTCATCCCATAGAATGTAAAGCCTTCTCTTTAAACCTGCCAAAGATATAAATGCCAGGGAAAGGCCGAGAGACTGTCCACATTCAGCGAGTCTGAAGACACATGATAACTAAATGCAACATGTGCTCCTGGACAGGATCCTGGATCAAAAGAAAAAGACACGACTGGGACAGTTGGCAAAACTTAAATGGGGTCCATGGACTGGATGGTAATACTGACTCAATGTTGATTTCCTGATTTGGGAAGTTGCATGCTGATAGCATGTCCTTGTTTGGGAGAAATGCACACTGGAAGTGTTTAGAAGAGATAAGACAACCTATCTAGAGCTCACTTTCACAAGGTTCCGAAAAATATATACATATATTATAATAGAAAGAGAGAGATTAGGTGATGGGGCAAATGCAATAAAATCTTAACAACTGGAGAACCTGTGTGGAGTGGGTATGAGAACTCTTTGTACTGTTCTGGTGACATTTACATAAATTTGAAATTATTTCAAAATAATTTTTAAAATATTGGCCAAAAAGATAACCAGCAAAATGTATCCAGGTCTGGATCTCAGAGAAAAGACATTAAGAGATAGAATTTTATTCATCAAAAAAACTGGGCTTCCCTGGTGGCGCAGTGGTTGAGGGTCCACCTGCCGACGCAGGGGACACGGGTTTATGCCCCGGTCTGGGAAGATCCCACATGCCGCGGAGCGGCTGGGCCCGTGAGCCATGGCCGCTGAGCCTGCGCGTCCAGAGCCTGTGCTCAGCAACGGGAGAGGCCACAACAGTGAGAGGCCCGTGTACCGCAAAAAAAAAAAAAAAAAAAAAAACCAGCAGGTAAAAAATACATCATATACAGTAATAATACAATTTAAACAATAAGTTTCTTCACTGTCGCCACTTCTGCCCTGCACATTACCTTCTTTCTCCTCAATCTTCCTGTGATCATTTTCTGATGCCAGTTCTGAGTCTGGGGAGTCCAAGGCACTCATCTAAACAAGTAGTTCAGGATCAGATTTAGAACCCAAGTCCTCAAGACTAAGCAGTATAGACAAACACCCACTCCAGGACAGGACACTTTGATGAAAGTTACCTATAACCATCCAGTGCATTGAACAAGAAGCCACCAGAAGAAGCTTGACCTTGCACTGCCTGCAGCGGCCTCCTGATGTGCAGCAGTAGGGAACACACCTCCACTTCTTCTGCAGCTCAGGCCTCTTCATCACAGGCCAACTACTTTTATCCTCGACTAACCAACCACGTTTCCAAGTTGCAACAGCAGAACTTCTCCACTTTTCTCCATGGAATATGAGCCAGCAGAGCAGGCCAATTGTTCAATCAGGAGAAACTGAGATAGGTTTCCCCAGAGGACTTCTTATATGCCAAAAGAATAACAATGACTTCTCCTACTAGCTGTTTTCCCCCAAGTTCTTCATTCCTTTTTGCCCCTACATATCTCCATAATATTAAAAGTTCAGGCTACAGTATATTGCACAGAATATTCCTAAAAAGTAAGCTCCATATTGGTTCAGTCACTGTCCCTCTAATTTGAATAAAAACAGAGCTTTTATTCAAATTAGTCTTGTTATCCAGTTGCTTTTATGATACGGCCTTACTTAATCTTTAGTCTGGAAAGCTTGGCTTAACCAAGAAAATCCTGGGAAATATAATTCTCTCCCATTATATAAACTAGAAAGGGTAAAATCTGTCTGGCATAAATAACACACTGAAGTCTTAATCTGATGAAGCTAAAATTAGACCTTTTTTTATATCTGAGTAAAATAAAAGTGATAAAAGCATTTTTTTAAAAAGAAGTATGAGGGTTTTTTTTTTTAATAGTCAAGGGCTTTTATGAATACATAAGCTATTACTATTCTTTGGGATAGTTTTGATGTCTTATTAAACAAGTGAAAAGCAAAACAATCCTCAAGTTCTACTTCCCATCTTCCTGCCCAGAGAACACCACCCCAGGGAACGGAAGCACATTATAAAGCCCAACTCCAAAGACTTGCGGTCAAAAGGTTCCCGCAGCCACATGGCACCCCACAGGCTGGGGACACGTCCAAACCACTCACACTGCACACTGCCTACTAAATACGACAGAGAAGGCACCGCATGTGATGGGCAATTCAACCAGGGTCCCACAGGGGATTCTGATGAGTCCCCATGCTCTGACCAACTTTCCTTCAGAGAGTTTTGGTTTGGACTTCGGAGGAATACTATCTATAAGGAGACTTTCTCAGAGAGGCTGATTTATAGCTTTAAGCAAGGGGGCACATAACCACTGCTACATCTGTTCTCCTCTGTTAAAGTGTCAAGTTCCAGGATCCCCAAGATTACCAGACTCCCCATTTGGCAAAGAATGGAATCAATTTTCAAGCATGGGGTGGCCTATACTTAGACTGAAAATCCTACAGGGGACTCCAGTCAGACCTCTGAGAGTCATGAAAGAAAAGCTGCATCTTTCACAGGGACTCTACACTCTTGTTATGAATGACACCATTCAGATTCCCTGGACCACGCAGGAAGCAAAACCCACTATCCCTAGAGGTGAACTATTTTCCTACAAAAAGTAAAGAGCAAATTCACCTTAGGTCTTAAAACAGTTAGGGAAAAAACCGCATCCACCCACACTCCTCACACGCTTCATATTGGCATCCCTGTGAGTAACCTCTGATGAAGATAAAAGATACCCTAACAACAATCTTCATGAATGCATTCTGCTTTTGAACCATGCAAACAAGACAATTATAGTTATTCCATCCCAGAGACAGACTGGGGCTAGTTTTCCTGTACTGTCAGAAAGTTAGTAAAGCATCTCAACTACTGTTTTTATCAATGCCATTTAATCTTAGAATTTCTCATATGCCTTATCCTCCTGTCCTCAAAGACTAATGGTTAAGCAGGAAACCAATGTGTAGGAAATCCTCTAGAGGGAACATGATGAAACACTAATCCTTCTTTCTTTCATTCTAACATTCTAGCATCTAACATCTAACAACATTCTAACGTGTTAGAATTCTAACAATTCTAACATCAGCTTAGAATTTAAAATATCAATTAGTTGGACAACGTTTCACCATTGTGTGTCCTGTACCCAGTACAAAGTTAGGCATTAATAAAGATTTGTTGAGTGAATGAATATTTACTTCCCATATCATGGTGAAGCTCCGGTGTTGCATGCAACTCATTCTTTGGGACATGAAAATCATTCTTTGGGATACTAGCAGCTCCAGCCTAATGAGTCATCTATCAAATGCTTATCATTGTTCTATTTTAGGGGCCCAGAGAGGAAAATCTTGGCAAAGATACAAAATCCCATATCTTTCATGGGGGAAAAATTGCCCTTCTGGAGTGGAAAAAAACATTATTCCAATATCTACCAGATATGTAAACGATCTAACAGATACTTGCCTGTTATGTACAAAGCACTATGGTAGGTCACTCTTTACCCTTAGGAGTTCACGATCTAGTAAGCGAGATAAGACAAATCTATCCATAGCTATCATATGAATAAATAAATAAAAACATGACCTGTATGTCCAGAGCCTATAGGAATTGAGCAATAGGTTTAAGGTGAAATTCATATTTCCCTTTACTTCAGTAACGTATTTTTTGAGGTTCTAGTTTCAAAAGATTGCTTTTGAGAAGTGCATTTATTGCAGGAAGATTCTTTGTTGACTTAACACAGTGAGACAGAGAAGCATGGAGAAATAAATGCTGATGACTGGAAAGTGGACAGAGCATAACAAAATCTAAAGACCAGATGGATTTTTATTTAAATCCATGCTTTCTTTAAATGCTACTTGCAAGGCTGAAGAACTAACCATATTGAAATCAGTAATGCCTTTTAAGACTAAACTAAACATATTAAAAATTATAATAATCTTAAAGGTAATAATGTCTTTTCTTTCAAGAGCAGGCAGAATTATCCAAGCCTTTTTAGTAGTGCGCTGCCCCGTGCCATGGGAAACAGATTATCCTAGCAAAGGAAGATTAGGAAGGGGAAAGGAAAGGGACTGGAAATTGGTATAAAAGGCTTGAGTAGGTAGTGTCACATTATACTCACTCAATCAGATAAAATCTCCCACTGAAGTAGATTATGGTTCCATGTCAAGCTATGGAGCCTGGGTTATGACTCACTTGTAACGTAATCTCTCCATTGCCAGGGTGCATTTTCTATTCCCATGGCCAGATCAGGAAAGAACAAGGGAGGAGTCACAGAAGCAGAACGGGACTGGGAGCTTAGAGACCTGGGCCTAAATCTGGCTTCAGCTCAAAACTGTTCTGTTCCTCATTCCATTCATCACTCCTCTTATTCTTCCCCCGACACCCCTGTTCCAGCCTCCTAATCTAATGTTCACCAAGTACATACACACACACATTCAAATGTCACGTATGTTTAGTACTAACTATATGCCTGTGCTAAGTGCTTTAATGTATATTATCTCTAAATATCACAACAACTTTGTGAGGTGACATTATCACTCCCATTCTATTTATTTATTTAGATATAATTCACATATCATAAAACTCACACTTTAAAACCACACAATGTAGTGGTTTCTAGCCTATTCACAAAGTTGTACAACCATGACCACTATCTAATTCTAGAACATTTTTATTGCCCAGGAAGAAATCCCATACCCATTAGCAGTTATTCCTCATTTTCCTCTCCTCCCATCCCCTGGCAATCACTAATCTACTTTCTGTCTTTATGAATTTGCCTGTTCTGGACATTTCAAATAGATGCATTCATATAATATGTGGCATTCTGTATCACTCCCATTTTACATATGAAGAAACCAAGACTCCAATAGGTTAAGTAACTTGCCCCAAGTCCCACGGTTAATAAAAGGCTGAACTAGAAGAGGAACTCAGGTCTGATTCAAGTGCTTGTGCTTGCTTTTGACTACTTTTTTTTTTTCCACTTGTTACACCAGAAAACAATGGTGGTTAAAACTTTTGACTACTATATGCTGCTTCCATACAGGAAGAAAATTGAGAGAAAGTGAAAGTTTTAGATATAATTGGGGAAATGGGGTTTTGTTCATCTAAGGTAATACAAGTAACAAATAAGAATCACAGTTATAGCACCATCTCTGCTAAGCTTCTGTTGAAATGCTGAGGCAGCTCTTCTAAACAGATCATGGCAAATTACTAGAAAGCACACCCTTCCCAGTCTCTGGCTGATTTACCCCACAACCGACTCCCCTCCACCCCTCAGCCCCATGAAGATGGCAACTATAAGAAACCAGGCTGTAAAGAAAATCCTCTCTCCCAACTTTCCATCCCTTGCCCAGATGCCACTCTGCCACTTAAACTGTATTATCCATACAAATTTCTGTCTAACAAGTCCAAGAAAAATGTGCACTAGGGCTTTTCTTAAATAAATAAGTACACTAGTGCTTTTCTTCTCCCTTTTAATTCTGGCAACCAAAAGAGGGTGAAGGATGTTGGAGAAACGAAGTTGTTAGCAAACCAATGGCAAAGAGCTATAAAAACCTAAGAACTGTAACTCACATAAAATGCCTATAATCTACCTTTAGCTTTTTCCAATTTTTCTACTTTATATGTTGTGTATGCATATGGCTGAGATTAGATTACCCCTTTCTAGAGGGCCAGGTTCAGATCTTCGATAGTCCTTTTCCTCCCTCATCCAACATAAACAAACAGGTGCACTGTAATGATAATTATATTTTTTTTTCTTTCTTAGCAGAAAACTATAGAAGGGGAAGACTGATCTCCACTAACCCAAGGCCAAGACCAACGTTTGTTTTTACTTTTTAACCCCATTACCAGGGGCTCAAATGTTTATTGACTAGTAATAGCTAATACTTACACAGCACCTTACCAGGCACTGTTCTAAACACATATACTAACTCCCAACAACCCTAGAGGCAACTACTATGATTATAATCCTCATTTCCAGATGAGAAAACCGTGGCACAGCGCCGTTGTGATCTGCCCAAGGTCACTCAGTTAGTAAGGAGCGGAACCAGGAAGAAAGGAATGTGGCACAGATTAAAGCATTCCAACTAAATACATTTAAGTCATTCCAATTTCTTAAAATTGAGAGGTTTATGATACACTGCAACAGCTTGGAACTCTACTAGATCATAAAACAAGAAAAATACTTCTCCCTCTGCTACTCTGTAGTACTCCACTCTGCCTGTCTTCAGAAGTGGTCAAAGCCTTTATCTCATTACTTCTGAACCCTCTGACAGGAAAATCAACAGATAGACGGGCTCTCATTCCCTATAGTTAAGTGAAAAGAAGGCCAGTGCTTTGGGAAGAAAAGGAGGAACTGAATCAAGGCGGTTTCATTATAATTCAGTTTTCCCTGTACAGGCCAAGCTACTCTCATTTTAGATTCCACCTACTTTTTAACTTCTAAAACATCATGTACATTATATACTCACTATACTGCCCTCAGTGAATTGAAAACTGTGAAAAATAAGAAGGAAGCATTATTTGGGGGGTTGTTCCCATCTCTTTTGTGGTTAAAAGTGAAATAATAAAAATTTACAGTTAATCCATGATCTTCAATTGCTCAAATACCATACTACATCCAACCTAGAAGACACTTCCATTCTGAAATGATAATTAAAACCTTCAAAAGAGGTTTTAAGAATTGAGGTTAAGAATTGAGTGTTCCTTCGCTTAAAATTTCAAGTTCCTATTAATCAGAAACCAACATTCACAGAAGAAAGTTGAGACAGTCTCTGAATGAACTTGACCTTCTAAAGATAGTCTGTAAAGGGAGAGAACAAGAGCTAGTTGTCTTTTTTTTTTTTTTTTGAGCTAGGTGTCTTTTAAGGAATGGTTTCTACTTTCTAACACAATCACCTAAACAGCTGGGAAAATGGCATCCCCAAAATATACACAGTAAGTGCCACCTCACTAATTTCTCCTGATGCTCCTTTTCAGCTCCAAAAATAAAACTGTCCACACTAAAGGAATGGAAGCATTTCATGGAACAAAATCAAATGGCTCCCAGTCCTGTCATCTGTACCCTCTCCTGGTTTTTATTTCAGATGGACAGACTCCAGAGGGTGAAGAGAGTTAAATACGAAAAGATTAGTTCATGATGCAGTCAACTAGAAAAGCCAATGAGGCAAAATACAAAGGTGCGTTTGTATTTCTTAAGTTGGCTTTTAAAGAATAAAAACAAGAGCCAGCCAAGGTGCCTTGAAAACCTCCATCTCTCTGAGGTGAATCTACTCTCTGATTTTTTATCAGTAGTAATTCTAAAATAGTTGTTAAAAAATTACAGCAACAGAGGGCTTTTTAAGATAAGCTATAAGAAAAACTTGTGAGCAGCAGGGAAAGCCGCTGGAAAGCATTGCTGAGGGAGAGGGTGAAAGTACACGTTCTGGGGCTCATCCCTGAAAACATCTGCCCTTCTCACCAATTGTTTTTGATAGCCTCACAGAAATTAGTTCCCTCTATGGGTCCATTTTAAGAATAACAAATCTCTGGGCAGAAGATGGCAAAACCACAACTTCAGAAAAGCTAGTCATACCCCCTTGTCCCACTTATCCCATGAGGTAAAATAAAAGCTTTTTTATTTACATCCAGGCCAACTAAGTGGAATATCATCAATCAGAATCTTATTTTTATCACCATTTCTGGAGTCTCAGACAAATTTAGGATATTAAACATGCAACTTTGGAAATATAGGGCCCAACACACAAACTCTGAAGAGTTTAAGAATTCACTGTATTCTACGCCTCATGTTCAAATTTGCTGTCAGCATCTAAATTAGTGTTTCTGAAAGTGTGCTTGCTGGCCCACTTGCGTCAGAATCCCTACCCATGGCTTGCGTTTAGATTCTTAGGACCCACCCACTAGACATAATCAATCTGTGGGATAGAGCCTGAGATATTTTCAACATTAATCTTAATACACACTTTAGTTAGAGAATCACTCAATGAAACCCACTGACTGCTATACTGTCCCAAGGTATCTGTCTGCATGGGATGCCAGTCCCTTCTTCCATCCAATCTGTTATTTCCTAATTAGACCAAGTTATCAAACCCTCCAGTTCCCCACCAACAGCAGTTTAAGAGGAAGCAAGAAATTAGGAAAGGTCAAAAACGCTGCACGATTTTAAATGCTTTAGGGCCTCTAACACATCCCAGAGAGAATCAAGTCAAGTTTCAGGACCAAAAAACGATCCTTTCCCTGTCTAACTTCTTCACCCTAAACACAATCCGCATCTCTGGCAATTCCCTGGCACCCATCAGACATCCTTTCCTTTAGCGACCCCAGCCCCATTCCCCAGTACATTCCTTTCACAGAGTTGCCAAATGATTGATGCAAGCGTATTTCACATACATAGTCAAACACACAGATGCGCGCGCGCGCGCGCACACACACACACACACACACACACACACATCGGACACACAAAATCCACTACAGTTCCCTGGCCTCCTAGGGCTCCCTGCCTACCGCCCGTCCTCCATCCCTCCATTCCACCATCCCTAACTGGGACTCTGACCACAACTGCTCATCCCCGAACTCAGAGCAACTTTCCTCACTCCGAGGCTTAACCTCCGCCCTCTCAAACTGGGGCCCTCCGCCCTCCCGCCCGTGCACAGCCCGGTCCCCTGGATCCTGCTCCTGGCACTCCTGCCTTCGGGCGCCCCTTGCCCTCTGGTCCCCGCGGCCGAGTCCTTGGAGCCCCTCCCCTCCCCCACCCCGAGAGATGCCCTCCCACGGCATCTCGGATCCGGCCAGCTCAGGCCCGGGGGCCTCGCCACGCGGCCCTTCTTCCACTTTCCGCCTCTTCCCGGGGTTGTTTGCAGGGGCAGGGGTGTGGCCCACCCTCAGTTTGCCTCTCCAGCCCTGTCTTCCTCACGGCTACCCTCCTTACCCGCCTGCAGCCCGATCTCGGCGACATCGCCGGCAGGGCCGCGCTCAGCCCCGCCGCCTTCCGTGGGGGAGGAGGGACAGCTGTGGTTGTGGGAACCCTTGATGTCGCGGAAGAACTTCTGCGTTTCGCGCAGGTTCTGCCTCAGCCGTCCCAGGTAGCGGCGGTAGCGGCCAAAGCCCCGGCACAGCTCGCGGATCATTCCGCCGCCTCCCGGGCCGGGACCCGAGACCGGCTCGCTCCCCCACGGCACCCCGTCGCCCTCCATCGCCTCAGCCTGCTCTGCCTTCGCGGCTTGGTGCCCGGCCCTCTGGTCCGGCTCCCCTCCTCCCGCCCCCCAGTGCTTAGGGCAGGAGGAATCCGCCTCCTGACGCCCCCGCCTGCAGTCGGCCGGGTTCCCAACCTCCGTCACCGCCGTTGAAAACAAACCAAACCGCAGTGCGCTGCGAACGGAACCTTTATCTCCACTATCCAGAGGAATGAGGGAACGATCGCCGGAGCACCCCGTCACTGCGGGGTCTCCTGGGACTTGTAGTCTGGGCCGGGGCCGAGCTCCAAAACCTGGAGACTGTGGATGCGACCGACCGTCCTTTGGTATACATCTCCCCCGTTTTCACACAGAGCTCACACGCTCTTCCCGACTTACAAACATGTTCCTGCTCCCTACAGAAGTGTCCCTGAGGAGAGAGAGCACCTGCAGAACCCGGACTCCTGCAGAAGGAGGGGTGCCTTACTGAAATCAGAGCGAAAGATTTTAATAGCAAAGAAAAGT